GGTGCCACTATTCTGAAGAATGAGCTGAGAATTAGTATATGATAATGCTATGCTTATATAGTCCCTCATCTACTTTGGATTCTGATTATACTCTGAAGATCCCTATTAGAGCTGTGATCCCTACTGTGCAAAGTGCTGCTCAAGAAGACATAAAGTCAGTGAGATACAAAAGCCCTAGCTGAAGGATTACAGATGATTTGTGGACAAAACAAAGCAATGAACTTAACATACAGTGGCAGAAAACATGAAAAAGAAAAATAAAGTAGAACTCCAGCAGTGAAATCCTGGCTTTTTCAAGTCAGTGGAGATTTTGCCCTAGAATGAAGCTAAAATTTCCCCTCTCCTGTTTTGAGTTTTTTTTGGTTGGGTGGTTGGTTGGTTGGGGATTTTTTTCTTCCCCACAGCGCAGAGGCTTGCCCAGGGGTGAGGGTTGTTCTCATATCCCTCCACACTCATGCTTGATGCAACAGAAAGATTTGGGCATCATCTAGGGACTTTTTGAGCAAGGGTGGATTTGGGAGCAGTGAAGGTGGAAGGGGACAGGACAAGGAGGTGGAGAAGTCACTGTGAAGGGCAGGCAGGTGAAAGGCAGCAGCAGAGGTTAATGTCAGAGCCAATGGCTGGAAGAAATTGAAGCTCTGTGCTTGGCAGAAAGCAGGGCAATCACCCAAAAAACGTCCTTGATGTTCAGAGACAAGCTCCAGTTGAAGCTGCTCTTCTGACCTGAATATTATCAGGAAGGCCAAGTTCTGATGCCAAAACTTCTTGTGCTCTCACCCAATGTCCTGCCAGGCAAATGGAGATATTTTATTGTTTGTGGCTAGAAAATCTCTGCCATTGACTTTGAGGAGGATGGCACCATGCTACCAAAACCCATGTCACCGGGATTCACTCTCCTGCAGGAACAGGGACCTGCCTGTAGGGTCGAAAAGGAAGAGAATGTTTCAAGATACCAGCCTGACAATCTCTTGTGAGCCGGTCATTTCCCAGCAATGGTGTTTTGATACAAGTTCATACGAGTCCAGAGAAAGACTATTCTGGATATGACTATGTTGGGTGATGAGAGTTCTAGGAATTCTGGAAGTGATTATGGATTTTTCACACTGACAACCTAATCCTTTTCAAATGGCTCCCAACTGCGGCTACAAATGTACCTTAAACTGCACCGTAAATTGCATTTCTGAAATCTGGGTAGGCGTGTGCTTTTCTGTCAGTAAGTTATGCAGGAGAGTAAAAACTAATCAGCACTTAGGAAAACTGTTGTCTCACTGACATTTGCACGATTTCTCCATAAGCTGCCAATGAGCATCCATCACACTGGCAGTACACTGTCTCCTTAAGTTTACATAAGCTGCTGTCTGGGAACATTCATTTAAAACACAACCATGTGTACTTACAATAACCGAGACTGCTCTCTGAGTTGTTATTTGTTTGTTTTCTCTCTCTGGGCAGAAAGGGGAGGGTTAACAAGCTCCCTGAAAGATTTCTGCGAGTACAGGCAAGCTTGGAGCACTTGGGACTCGGACCTTAACCTCCAGGACTAAAATCGAAACACAGATGATCTGTGGGAGAAAAAGCAAGCTGCTAAGTGACCCCAAGAGTCCCCTCCATATCTCCGGAGAAAATGGAGAGATGCTTGAGACTTGCAGCATCCTTCACACCTACCCTGCAGCCACCGCAGCTGCCCATCACGCTGCATTTGCCTCTGAAAAGGACGGGAGGAGACCCAAGAGACCAGATTTGAGGCTGACAAGGAGAGAAGTGGAAAATGAGGTTGGAAAAGAGATAAAGGGATTCCAGTAAAAGCCACCAGACTTCCCCTATCTCCTGCGTGCTGCTCCACAGGAGTCAAAATCCTGAACACTGGGCACCAATCTACATATTATACATGTTTGAGTCCAATCTTGATTCACATTAGGGACACCGCATCGACCTTTTCTGCACGGGTTTCCAGGTGGAACCACAGCCTCAGACGGAGCTGGGAACACGTCTCAGGCAATCCAAGGGGATGAGGCAGCTCTGTATGGGCAGCCGGGGCTTGAAACCCACAAAGATCTCCCAGGACCCATAACATAGCTTTGAACATGCTACATGGGGTTACTAAACCATCTGTCAGGGACACAAGGTTTTACAAAAGGATACAAGAAAAACTACTAATGGGTTTAGATCTACAATTGAACTTCAGTTCAGCATTTCATTTGTACGTGTTAACGATTTAGGAACACAAGCATAAACATTTGGACAGCTGTCTAAGCTTGATGGCTTGTTGTTCATGTTTATATTTTGTGCTTATGATTGTTATGAGTCAAAAAAATCAGAGGTACAAGATCAGTTCACTAGAAGAAAGCTAAATATTCAAGAAATGGGCCTTTATAACTACTCTTTTACCCTGAGATAGTCATGGTTACTGTCAGTGGTAAAAAAAAAAAAAAAAAAAAAAAAAAAAATCTCACCCCAACCCTAAACAGAAATCCAGAAATCTAGAAATGAGAGAGGAAATTTCTCCCAAACGGAAACCTCTCACAGATTTTGATATCCTAGAGAGAAAAATTTCCTAGAGAAAAAAAAAATAATCCTAATTTGTGAAATTTCCACAACATGAGTCAGTCCTGGCACATGCACACACAAACACAAACACACACTTGTAAACGATTTTTAAAGGGAGGCTAATTTCAGCTGTAACTAAGCAGTGACAAGCACTTTTACGGATGATGATTTGGAACCTACATATTACCAAAACTAAATTAAGTGGGTGAAAGGGTTATGAACCCACAGTAAACAGTGCTTCTGTTTCGACTGAAAGCATCTGGTTTTGAGTCAGAACGACTGAAGAAAGCCTCTCTTTGTCCTCAGTGTGTGTGGAACAGACTTGAGAAAGTTTGCAGACTGCATAAACTCAATTGGACAAGGGAAGGGCAGAGCTCAGAGCCTGTAAAAACTACGAACTGCTCAGAATTTCATCTCTGGAGTTAGCAGGTAAAATCTTTGTTCTGTTGAAGTAAACAGCAAAATGGTTCAATGAAGTCAAGATTTCACTTCATAGCAGCTGTTCCCTGCATCTTGAAGTTCTGTCTTTCCTATAGCATTTGTAAAGTCGTAGTGCACAGCTGTTTCTTTTTTTTCCCCCAAAACACCCTTGGAAGTGCACAGTAATCTTTCACTGTCTGAATCTCCTCCACTACTAGAGGAGAAAAAGAATTTCACTATTTATTCTAGGTAAACACACAGTTTTCAAAAAAATTGGTTTCTGCCCTACTCCACAAGGTATTGACCTCTCAGCAAAAAAGGTCCAGGTTAAAGGCTCAACTGTTAATTAAATTAAGCTTGAAGGATCTCACATTAGTCCTGGACTGAAGGTTACCATGTGCAAGAGTGGTGTGCCACCATCTACACACACCCCACGGGTTTTGAACACAGCAACCAACCAATCAGATTGCTCTAACACTGTCTAATACCCTTTCTCCCCTAAACTCTGTTTCTCTATCCTTTAATCACTTATCAGGGTGCAATTATTTCTTTCAGGAAGTGATTAGTACTTTTGTACTTCATTCATGTGTAAAAGATGCTTTAATGAGAAGATCTATCTCATTATTCTACCATTGAAATATCTCAGAGACCTTGTAACTTTCTCTAATTTCCTAAAACGTCTCCAAAAAGAGTCCTTACAAATCTCACCTGACCGTGGGTCAGAATTACACCTAGGTGGGATACTTCACCACCTGACAAGACAGCAGTCAAAATGGGACCACTGAAGCATGACTGTAGCATGAAGTTGGGGTAGGCTTTCCGAGGGCAAGAAGAAACTGTTATTTAAGCAGTTCACAAGATCAGCATCTTCACAGTCTTCAACAAAGCAAAGCAGAGAACAGGTTGATCAGGATGGCCCTCGAGGAGATGTTCCTCATATATTTGTTTTACCTTATGTCTGTGACATTAAACTGTCCTGCCCACACTGAATGATTGCAGTTACAGATGGACAGAAAAAGATGAACATAAACCATACATGGTAGAAGAAGGGCACTAAATGCTACCTTCGCTGAAAATTACAGTATTTGGGAAAGAGGAAATTGTGATCTAAGTTGTGAAGTACACAGATCTATGTGGAAGTATTTTTCATTATCAGAAAAGAAAATAAATTGACAAGTGTATAATGAGATCAGGCATAAAGCCATGAAGAGTTATAGGCTGTTGTTAATTATGGAAGTACAAATCTTAAAGCCACATGACTTGGGAGAAAGCCACGTGACCTGGGAGAACAAACTTGTGTATACCTATTGCCTTTACAGACTCTGTTCTTCATTGTGAAATGCTATTTTCCTTAAATTGAAAACATGCAGTCAAACTCATTAGAATGAGAGAAGCAAGCTGTGTCAAGGGTAGTGGTTTTTGAAAATCTGGTCTTATTTTTAAGATATATTCCAGAAGGATTTCTTTACAACATTCCTAATAGGAACTCGACCATTACAATTAACCCCCATAGTTCTCATTACTTGAGATGGCCATCTGCCTAGGAATTAATCTTCTGCCATTGTAGACAGCCTTATCACAGTTGAAATGAAAATATTAAATATAGCTTGCAATCTCCTTACTTACATTCTCATACAGTTATGAGTAACAATTCTCAGTACCATGCCATCAATTTTTGCTATCCAAGTTGGAAAACGAGTTCTTAAAAAGCACTCAGTATTTGTTTACCACCATTTTTACATGGTCCAACCTGATTCATGCTGTTAGCAAAGAAGGAGGTTGTCCAGAGTAGCAGACTCAGAGGGCTGGCGTTTCACATGCAGGATTCTGACTGACCCCTGGCCCTCAGCGAGTGCACATGAAGATGGAGGCGGCAGCTTTTACATCAACCAGACCTGCATCATAGCTAAAAAGGACTTCAGCTTTAGCATCAATTAGCAGAAGTAAGCAAATAGTGAGTGCCTTGAGAGTCCCCAACAGAAATGAATTCCCATAGTGTACTAATATTAAATACGGAAGAAGAGGCTTCATACCTTAAATTCCTCCAAAATTTTATAATTTTTCCCATGATATTCACAAAAGTTTTTCACTTCTTTGCATTCTGGACAGCATCCATTGTGTTCCACTTTTGTACACTTTGGGTGGATTTTAGGGCATTCTGGTTGATCGCAAACAGGTCCATCCTCAGTACAGACACAGGGACAGTTGGAATGTCCCGGGAAAAAACGTTCTCCCAGTTTGTACACAAAGCCACTGTCATCCACACAGCCCTTCCCTCGGTAGTCATCAAAGATCAGATTGTCATTACTGGAGGTCTGGTCCCCTTCATCGGCAGGGTAGTCTTCATGATTGATGGCAGCTGGAGCGACCAAAGCAGGGATTACAAACAGAAGTATCCAGGCTTCATGGATACGAAGAGCCATCCCCCTCCTCAGCTTCTCCATGGGATCTCAATGCCCGATAGAAACAGCTGCTTCCATAGGGAGACCAGTGTTGTGGTCTGAAAACAAATATTTTTAAGTGAGAACAAACTCAAAATTCTAAGGAATACTGACTTATAAAGGCCATAGTTTCAACCAGCACCCAAGAAGAAAGCAGTGCTTTCAAACCACACAGATAACTATCGCTGTTTCATTTGAATTAAGTCTCTTCTCAATTACTGTTAAAGAGAATAAAGCATATGAAACACATAAATTAGACACACATGCCTGGAAGCATTTGCCCACAAAATGTCTCTGCAAAAACGGTGCCTCACAGAAGCATCTAATTCTTACTTTCCTCATTCGGGCAGTTGAGTTTCCTGATGCACCAGAAATTAAACTAGCTGCTTGAAATCGCAGGGTGACGGGCAGCTCAGAGGGATCTGAACCCACGTTTAAGCATGGTCTCAACCTCCTGCTGTGGCCACTGTCCCTCTGTGCTACGCATGGCACGCAGCCCACTTCGTTAAACTGAGGTGGGAAACCTGAGTTGAAAAATGAGATAAGCATAATCTGTAAGTAGATCTGTGTCCAATATGAAAAATGATGCTGGGTTATTCTTGGTCTGCCAGAGGTGGAATAGTACAGAATTTCTATACAGCATTTTTGAAGAGGGACTACCTGAGCTACCAACACAGCCCAGCCTGCGGCAGGTACGTGTAATCCCGACAGAAGCAGAGATGTAATTCACCTTCTCCATTATTCAGCATTTCAGTAATTCCCAGAGAGAAACGCAGAGAGCAGGATGTTAAATGCCCGTGTAACGCATGGAGCCGCTGAAACGTGTTTGTCTGATGAAGCTGGAGCCTTTCTAAAACTTTGGGAGCGGTGCGGCATCGCCCGACCTCTGGAGAGCTGTGCTGAGCGGCGGGGCCGAGGATGGACCCGGCGAGGGAGAGGAGCTGTGCAGAGCCCCCAGGGAGAGCCGGCGCCGGGCGAAGGCTCCACGCGTGTGCCTTTGGGTGTGCTATTGGCTGGCCGAGGTGCCACATCACTGCCACCAGCACACCGTCCTGCCGGCACGGCCACCACCACCCAGCGCAACCCCAGCACCAAAATGGGTTCTGACCTCTCTTAAGAGAACTGGGCAAAGTATTAGAGGAAACTTTTAAATGAGGTGAAATATCAGCATCACACGGATTGAGGAACGATGGAGGCAGCTGCCGGCACAAACCAAAACCGGACTGTTTGGGTGTGTGTGTCATTGCTTCTCTTCCTGCGCTCCCACGGCGTGCACACAGACACACGCAGTATATACAAAGATGCACTAACCTACACACAGGCAAACACGTCCTCCCCCTCCACCTCTCTGGGAGATATTTTCTGTGTATCGGGATTTCTGGTGGGCTGCAGATGTTCAGCAATTAATTCTCCCTTAATTGAAGAAAAAAAAAAAAAAAAAGCAGCAGCAGGAGGAGAAAGCTTTAATCCTAGAGAAGCAGCTAAAGGGATCCTGTTGACAAAGCAGTTTTTCCAAAGCCACAACAGAGGGAGACACCGGATATTACACAAGCTTTATCAAATTCATAAGATATCTTCTTAATTGAAGTACTAGCTATCACAAGGACTATGCTCCCTGTTACTACTAATCAGAATATCTATTGTAACATGTTGTTTGGAAATAAGTGATTCATGAGATACGGCTGCTTTGCGTATCTACAGAGCAGAGAATCTCGCCCACCTAAACGCTACAGGTAGGTTGCAACATTGCAGATTGGTGGGCATTGGGG